GCATTAATATTTTCAGTAAATTTAAATAATTCATTGACCCTTCCTTCATCTATGTCATTGATATAAACCAAAAGAAAAAAGATCATAATACTAAGATATGCCACTTGTGACATTAATCCAGTTTAGATGAACTCCATTTATAGCCAGGAGAGTAGAGACACAATGAGCCCCGAGGCAAACATCCTCGCCGGTACCTCTTTCTTTCTTTTGTTTCGATACTCGTGGTGAGAAGAGCACAGATAGACCATTGTGTAGCTTTGTGCTTAATTGCAAACAAAGTAACAACAAATATCTATTAAATCTATAAAGTAACAAATATATATTAATTATTACTCAAATTATTATTTCAATCATTCTTAATATTTGTTTGTTTGTTTTTGAGTTTCGCGCAAAGCTACACGAGGGCTATCTGCACTAGCCGTCCCTAATTTAGCAGTGTGAGACTAGTGGGAAGGCAGCTAGTCATCACCACCCACCGCCAACTCTTGGGCTACTCTTTTACCAACAAATAGTGGGATTGACCGTCACATTATAACGCCCCCACGGCTGAAAGGGCGAACATGTTTGGTGTGACGGGGATTCGTACCCGCGACCCTCAGATTGCGAGTCGAGTGCCCTAACCACCTGGCCAAATAACAACCCACCTTCATATCACGTGCAGATGCATAATTGCTTATGCGCACACGCCACATGATCATCCTGCAGCTGTATCAGCTAGATAACAAAAACGTGGACTACGTAGATTTTCTAGATCTAGGCTCTAATTATGATCTAACATTTTACTAGAGGGTTCTGTGTTGCACAAAGCAATTCTATCTTAGCAGTCTGTGCCTAAGACGTGAGCCTCCTACGTGAGGACGAACGCTACTACTGCCGAAGTCTGACACAGTTTTGCTTGAGTGCTCTGGACTAAAAACAAGAACACAATAAGTTGTATAATTTACCTTTGCATTGTTTTCAAACTAAGTGTGACCTATTGACGTCTAAGGTTATACTTGAAACAGTGCGCTTTTTAAAATATGCCTTTCAGGAAAACAAAACGAGAGAAAAGAAGAAAATTATATTTTTATAACCTTGAAAAGTCTTTGTCCCAGCAAAGACTGCATTACTGCACGAATAGAGACAAGGTTAGAAATGGTACTGCTGAATATGCAAAACAAGCCTGAGTCATTAATCTAACCAAAGATAAGGCTGCCACAATTGCTAGATGGAAGAAAAACTATAGAAAAGATGTCAACAAAAGCCAAATGTCGAGAGATAGCTTTGAGAAAAGCTATGAGAGGGACAGACCTAGAGCCCAGACTCTCTCGAGACTTAGCACCAAAAAAAAAATAAGCAATGAGAAAAGTGTCAAAAAATTAAATAAAAAAATTGGAAGTAGCAATAGGAGCACCAAAAATTAAGGAAACAAAGGATAACATTACAACACTTGGTGGTTTTTGACAAGGTGCAACCTCAAAGTGAGTGTGACCATCGTTCCGCCTGTTCTTACTTCGTGTTTTACTTTGAACCTTGATCCAATTATAGACTTGAATTTAGTTTTATCAGTAGCTAATCCTTTCTAAATAATCGATGAATCTAAAAATTTCAAAAAATCAGTGGTTTTGATG